GTCTATTCATTAGTTTATGTATAGTCTATTAACTAGTCTATTGTGTAGTCTATTGATCAGTCTGTTGATTAGTCTATTGACTAGTCTAATGTGTAGTCTATTGATTTGTCTTATGTTAGTCTATAGACGAATCTATTGACTAGTCTGTGAACTAGTCTATGGACTAGTATTTGGACTAGACCATTAACTAATGTATTAGCTGGTCTATTGGCTAGTCTATGGACTAGACTATTGACTAGTCTATTGTCCAGACTATTGACTAGTCTATATTGACTAGTATATGGACTGGTCTATTGACAACTTATTATATGGACTAGTCTATTGACTATTCTATGGAGTAGTCTATTGACTAGTCTATGGACTAGTCTATTGTGTATTTTATTGACTAGTCTATTGACTATTCTATAGAGTAGTCTATTGACTAGTCTATGGACTAGTCTATTGTGTATTTTATTGACTAGTCTATTGCCTAGTCTATAGGTATAATCTGTGGTCTATTGATTTGTCTATTGGCTAGTCTATGGACTAATCTATTGACTAGTGTATTAACTAGTCTATTGTGTAGATTATTGACTAGTCTATGGGTATAATCTGTGGTCTATTGATTTGTCTATTGGCTAGTCTATGGACTAATCTATTGACTAGTGTATTAACTAGTCTATTGTGTAGATTATTGACTAGTCTATGGATTAGTATATTGACTAACTAGTATATGGGCTGGTCTATTAACAACTTAGTCTATGGACTAAGGTACACTCTATGATATACTCTATTGACTAGTATTTGGAGTAGTCTATTAACTAGTTTATTAAATGGTGTATTGACTAGTATGTGGACTAGTCTATGGACTAGCCAATATAATAGTCTATGAACTAGCCTATCGACTAGCTTATGTACTAGCCTATGAACTAAACTATGAACTAGTTTATTAACTATTTTATGGACCTGATTTCCTGATCCTCCCAATACATGCCTACACCTGTTTTTAACATGAATTATAAAATTACTTTCAATTGCATTTTGGTTTTTCTTTTTCTCCTAAAATTTAATTATATTAATAACAACTACTCAAATAACAATTTCCTGTAATCAAAAACTGAAATAATGCAAATGCATTTATAAATAGTAGAGTACTTTGTATTGTTTTATAAACCCAACAACAAGTAGGTGTCACCTAACCCACTGTGTAATGTGAAGCTAAGAAAAAGGGATTGTTTTGAGCTGTCAAACGAATTGTTGTAAAGAAAAACTCCAAAAGAAAACGAAACAAAACAGGAAACATTATAATGTTTTTTTTTCACAAATACTATACATTTTTGCGTTTACAAATTTTAGTTGTCTGTTTTATACTGCAGTTATACGCTTTGATGTTGAGAAATAATAAAAACACAAAAATAAACAAAAAATTGTAAACGAAAGAGAGAAAAACAAAACAGCAAATAAGAAAAAAATCTAAATTGCTTATAGATGTATAAAAATAAACCATAAATAATGGCATTATTGAACATTAATGTACAATATTTATATCAAAGTGCTAAGATAATGATAATAACACATGGACTTGTACTTGTGGTACTCGTAGTAGTTGTAGTAGAATATGGACTCAAGACTTGTATGCAAACCATTAGATTGGAAAATATTTATTTATTTTCTCATATTCTAAACAAAACTTTCATAGATACATACTTACTATAGATATAAATGTAGTGAAAATATAGTGTTTTCTTCATTTGGTGAAAATAAGTAAAGTACACAACAACACATTAGTGTAAAAAGCCCAAGTAAATATTTATAAATGCATTAAAAATTTTTATAAATGGTCTTTATTTTTCTCTAGCTGTCAGTCACTCGCTTGTTCAGCCTATTCTATTGTAGTTTTTTTTTTACTTTCATGGTCTCAAAAACTTTTACAAAATGAAAATTGTGAACTGTGAAAAGAAATTGTTTAGGAGTTGAATGTGTTTATACGCAAAAAGTACTTAATAGGAAATGTGTGAGACTGGGTCTACAAAATTTTGGTTGTTTCATTATTTTAATAAATCTTTTTGGAATTTTTTTTCTTTAAATTAACAGACAAATTTAAAGTATCCCAGTAAAAACTTTCATTACCATGTAAGGGGTTAAAATGCTAAAATTTACTTACACAATAGCATTTTAAGTCATTATTTTAACACGGTGATGTCATTGGAGGCAAGTACTTACCACAAACGATTACAAGTAATTAGAAAAAGTAGTCATTGTAAATCGCATGAAAAAACGTATACAACTTCTATATCTTTACTGGCAAGATGACTAATGAATTAGAAAGTATTTATATAATACATTATTAGTAAGACCTTATTAGACCACTTCTATGTAATCCAGGCGATATGTAGTAGTCATTGAAAAGTATGTTGTTAGGTAAGTAATTACAATTGAAAGCTATTACCCAGTTTTTGCTGGGTATGTATATGTAGTTGTTTTTCATTTTATTAGAAATTTAATATGAATCATTAATTAGTGAGCTGCGAAATTTCATTCTATTGTGGTTTAAAGTTTTTTCCCATTAACATGAAATTATGTTAGAGTTTTCAGAAACTGTTTAAAGAAATTTTTATGCTAAATAATGATTGGTTTTTGTATATCAATGTAATTTGATATTTAGTATATGAATAAACTGGTTTAGATTTTTATTAAGCTAATTCACAGCAGTTCGATAAAGAGTCAATTCATTCAAAAATTAGAGTAATTTGCACTAACGTCTAACAACTTCATTGGCTCTAACTCGTCTTCCTTCACAAATGTACTCTATGTAAACGGGACAGTCGTCTTTTAAGTTTCCCTTTTGTCAGCGAGAGTGGAGATAATCGACATTATACTGACCCCAAGTAATCTAGGGGACGAGAAGAATACTTCTTAGGTTTTATATCTGGCTGAACTGAAATGTTTGTACTTTTAATTCCAGTGTCAAAGGGAAAGCAAATTTAGAAGCAAAAACCGAAGAATGAACGTCAAAACTAATAGAGACTTAGTACGTTAATAGGTTGGCAAAATTTTTATGAAAAAGGGTCGACTTGTTATATTTCACTGGATCCACTTCCTACTTTTGATTTGTAAGCTAAGGTTCCCATAACACTTGGAAGTTTTTTCCTCCAGGGAATATCATTCATCAACTGTGTGAATGTTGCAACAACAAGTTATGATTTAAAATTAAAAACGTGGACAAAAAGGACTCTACTTAGGTTTTATCTGCCATTTCTACTGAAGTGGAATGTCCTTACTCACTGATTCTAGTGTCGAAGAAAGAGCTATTCCACTAGTAGAAGCAGTAGCCGAACATTAAATGAGTTCCTCTTTGTTAATGGAAAAAAACACTGTGAATTTACCAAAAATCCTATGGAAAAGGTTGGGATCCATTTCCCAAGAGAAACGGTTGATAATTCCCTTTAAACACGGATGTTGGATTTAAAACTGATAAACGTAAACGAAAATTAAAGGTTATTCTTCTCAATAAGGATAAATTTAACAGTATTTCGGCTTTCTATGCCAGAACTTGTTGTGTTCCAAGAACTTCGTAAACTAGACAGTCCTATAACTGCTAAGTCTAAGCAGTAACGATCGCCAGAAGCTTTATCTGAGAACTAAACTCCAAAGCTCCAAACTAGTCATAGAATGAGATTTCCAGAAAACTACGAACGATAACGTCCGGAAAAAGAGTATTTTCACTAACAAATTCAGAATGCCGATCCTCAAGCCAACGTCAACGTCAACATCAAAATAATGACATGAACTCAACACACTTTATAACAAACTTTTCGAACTTTGAAAAAAGATTGTTTCTTCTAAACTTGGTAGATATCAGAGACTTCAATAAGCTAGAAAACCTTAGAGCACCATTGATGGGAGACATGCATTCCCAAAGGTAAGAAGAACTTCACACTACACTGCAGGATGATTACTGTAATGATATATGATTTATTAAAGGATTTATATAACACCACTTCTTGAGTTTAAGAGGTGTTCAAATGATAGTCGTAAGCATTCCAAGTCAGCTTGTTAATAATGGAGGGAATACCCGGAAAGTTCTCAATCATGTGCTAACCAAAGTAGAAATTTAAACCACTTTGCTAGAATGAAAATTTTTAATAAATGGATCATACTGAGAAGTATTTCTTACCTACTCTCTTGATATTTCATTTTTGGAAATTCGATTTAATGTACATTACTTGCAGAAAAATAATTTTCTCACCTATTATTACCACATAAAACAAAATCATTTACAAACACCTTTTATTCAAAATTTTTACACCCAAAAATTTTCCAAAAATATGTTTAATCATGATCAGGCTAACAATTGCCAGATCATTGCACATAAAGTAAGTAATGTATGATTAATTTAAGGATGTGTTTAACGAAAATTTGTAAACACCGCCTAAATCTCTGCTACTGATTAACCTTAGGAAGTTTTATTTTAAAAATATCACGTTTCAGGATCTTTAATCTCTACAACAGATTAAAATGTAAATGATCGAGAGGTGTGCAAGATTTTAAAAAAATCTCTAATAATCTTCTAAGAACTTTCGTGCCACACACAATCTATTTAAAAGGGCCATTATAAAGGCGTGATAATGTAAAAAAAATATAAATAAATTAGATTGTTGATATGGGGTTCAACAATCTAATTTATTTATATTTTTACAAATTGCCATAAAAGTTTTGGCGAACATTAATCAAAAAAGATTTTATATCAAAAGTAATATTTATTCGCCCCATCTTAACACAAATAGCCATTAACATTTCAACGCTTACTAATGCACATTAGACACACTTTTAAGAATTTAAAAATTCATTATGGTCTAAACCATTAGAGAGCAACTTTTTACATATAAACACTATTTTACGTTACTTTCAGCGAAAATAGTTTCAAGATTGTAATAAATATTTGAAGAATAAGAAAAACTATCTTAAGTCTTAAATGAAAAACAAATAAATATATATGTAATAACAGAGGAAAAACTTACCATTGCTTTGTTAGCACACAGTCTCCATGGGAATTTTCGCTATAGATGAAGTGTTGTGTACACCTCCGCTGCTGCCACCATTCATTGTGGTATTAGCCACTGAAGTGTTTTGTGTTATTTCGCCACCGCATGCAGCCATAGATGGTAAACCTTGCGAAGATGAAGAATGTTGTACGCCATTTGTGGTATTTGTTATTTCTCCACGCGAACGAGGGCAACAGAAACGTTTACAGGCGGCCCAAACTTGTGGCTGACAGCCAACCACCAGGAAAATGAAAACACCTTGTATGGCGTTAATGAAATCGGTGACAAACCACCAACACTGTGGACCACCCACAATCCAAGATAAAACATCAACAATCCAGGTTACACCCATTACTACCACCAACTTGAGGCACACCTTTCCTAAGGCAGTTTTTTCCGTAGTTGATTTGACATCATCACGCTTCCAAAGACCACAGGTTAATTGATGTGTGGTCGAGACGAAAAGCATTATATTGACGGTTAAGAGTATGCCTATGGGTCCAAAGAAATAGGCAAATATTGACAAACGTTCACCGCTAAACCAGCAATTGCTTTCGCCGAAACCCGGTCTCAAAAGGGAAGATTCTGGTATAAGATTTACACAGGCCGCTATGGTGGCTATAAGTAGTGGTATACCCCAGGCATAGGCTGAGTACAGACGCAGTCTTATTAATTCTTGATTACGTTCCAAAGAGCTAGGACGGAAATCTCTAAATGTCCACCAGATATTGAAACACATAGTGTTTAGCCAGAAAAAGGCAGACAGAAAGAAAAAGTGCATGGCACTGGCCACCAAATTGCAAAGACCCTCATGTAAAACCATGGTCTTGGACAATTGTATCCAGGAGAACAGCAGCTCTGCTATGAATAGGCAAAAAACGTAATAAATTTGACATCTCCAGTGTAGAACATGATGTACCGAAGGCATTAAGTAACTAGCCACCAAAGTGGCTGCCAAGAACACCACAGATATGACTAGACCAAAACTTAAGGCTGCATTTTGTCTTCTATTAGAATCATTGGTGCCATATTCATCCTCCGGCCCAAAATGATGTAAACAAGCAAAAATTTTCAAAGTATCCGAAGATCCATTATTTGTGCGTAAATATTCCAAGCAATAATCAGTGGACGTGAGATTCAGTTTGTGTGTGGGCAAGTGTAAATGTCCTGATTCCGTGTATAATTGAGAAGCTTCCCAGTCTCCCGCTATAGCAAAAGTTGTTGATCCCGTCTTGCATTCTGGAAAACCATAAATGGTTTGATATTCATTTTCTTCCAAATGGGAAATACTTAGTTTCCTTTTATGTCCAGCATCTATATGACATTTTTTCATTTCATCATCATAGGCTCCATGTTGACCACAACACTTCTTAAGCTTAAGCGTGGGAAGAGTTTCCTTCGATTTTGGAAAGCAAACTAAGGCAGCTTGCTGATCTACACAATAACGTGAGGGTGGCAATGAAATGGCTCTTTCAGGCAAGAACAAAGAACCATTGGAGAATAGTACTATATTATGATTACCCGTTATCAATTCCAAGTCCTCCACGGTACAGGTCACCTCATCCTCTGTTGAATTTCTTTCAATCTCATTAATATTGCGGGCACGACTTATAGGAAATATATTATCTTCAAAGGTGATAAATTTCGGAGCAGTACCTGGAGGTTCATGATGTTTTTTACGATTTATTAGATAAATCAAAGGTATCCAGAGTTCTGAACTACCCGCCACACAAGTCTTTGATTTATCTAAATACTCGCCAAATAAACAGCACTTATTGAGAGTAACACGTGGTGGTGGTCGACGTTGGGGTGGTGAATTCGTTGAAATTGGGGTGGACGTTATGGCTGTTGTCACTGCTGACGGCGCCGCTGCCGTATCGGTAGTTAAGTTCATGTTTGTCTCTGTCATAGCTGTCAAAATCTGTGAATTTTCTGGTACAGTAGCAGCTGCTATGTTGTCAGTAAGTGATGGTGGTGTCATCATAAAAACTAAAGCTGAGCAGCCGGGTAAAAACTGTATTTGTTGTATCATTATTATGAACATGACAAATAATAAATGATGAGATAATCCTCCTATTCCTTTTGGTAGTTTCATGTTGTAGTGATGACTATGGGTTTTATTGTTATTATTTGTTATTGTTGTATATTTACACATTTTGTTATTTTTATAGTGTGTTGTTGTTGTTGTTGGATTTAAAAATTCATTCATAATTTTTATTTTATTTTTGTTTTTCTTTTCTGCAATCACTGATTAAAACTTTTGTTTTTAATATATTTCTCAACACAGAAATTTTTCATAATTTTCTTTTTCTTTTAATTATTTCTTTTTCTAAAATAACACAATAATGATGTTTAATTACAATAGTAATGAGAAAATATTTTTCTTATTTACACTCGGCGAAATAAATTTAAAGTTATACTATGCTGATTTATTTTTAAAAGGTTTATACAATTTGTAGACTTAATTTGAAGATTCGAATGTGTTTATTTATAACCTACACCACTATAGTGGGTAGGGTATTATGCTTTTGTTCTGATATTTGTAACACCCAAAAATATTGGACCTACTGTCTGTCTGTGTGTCCATGTAAACCTTGTGCGCACGCTAAAGGTTACAATTTTCAAGATAATTTGATGAAATTTGATACATATTCTTATTTGTATGAATCCTATGGTTAAATCGGTCTATCGCCTAGCCCCATACTACTATACCCCCAGAATAGGGCTACCTCATAAATACTTATGTTAAATGTTCTTGTATCTCTCTAAAAATCGACAAAACATAGTTTTATATAAGTCTGAATAATACTGCTGATTTTCGTAATGATCGGACCTTATCTGATCCTAGCTCCCATGTAAGGTCCCCTTTAGAAACTGTAGACGTAATATGTGTTAGTATAATGTAGACGTAATATGTGTTAATATAGTTCAAAATTGTTCTCAATTGTAAGTCTTTACAGAGAATTAGCCTCAATTGAATATCTATTCCTACAGAAGATTTATATTGCCACACATTAGCTATATTCGTATAAAAATATAAAGCCAAATATTGACCTTTATTGCAGATCTTAATAGAGTCCCTTATTAGCTTTATTCGTAAGACTTTATTTAGTAAAATATTAACTGCAATTATAGGGCTTTTTAGAGTCCTTCAATCATAGGTTTTGTTTTGCACATACAACAATTTCATTCGTAAGTTTTTTAGATTCACTTTTAGATCTCTATAAAGTCCAATATTGATTTCAATAGTAAGTTTTTATATAGATCTATATTAACCTTAATAATGTGTCTTAATAGATCTTTATTCGTAGGTATTATTATAGTATAAAATTGTTAGTCTTTATAGAGTCCCATATTAGATTCATTCGTAGGCCTTTATATTGAAGATTCATATAGTCTCACATTACCTCAAACTAACCTAAGCTTTAATCATAAGCTTTTATTTAATTACTTTAGGGCATTTCTTGCACTTTACACCGTAATTTTCAAATTATATTCAATTGTTTTTTATTAATATTAATTGATTAAACATTTTTGATTAAACAATAAACAATGTAAGTATTCATTTCCATTATATTGTAATGCAATAAACTTGAACACTTTAGTTTTAAACCCATGTAATAGTTTTCTATTGTGTTTTTCCAACTTAGTAATTAATTAATTTTCAAAATTTCATCACGTTCAAACATATTATGTAAAATAAGTTCATTAAAAAAAACTATAATTTAAATTCATTATAGATATCAACTTGTATTTTTACAACTAATTTGAATATAAAACTTTTTCCGAGGAAAATTAGCATGAGTATAAACTTTAAATATATTTCGTTGAGTGTAAAATGCATTGTTTGCATATTTTTCTTTTGAATTTTCTTGTTGTTGGCATTTTCTTATTACTTCTTCTTCGTCTGCTTCGGTTGCTTAAAAACAAACTTAAATTATATGAAAAAATTTTCTTTTAATATTTTTACTCAAGACTTCAATCCACTAGCACTTCACTTTATATGTAGTACTTCAAAATTCCATTGTTTTGCAATTGGTTACAATTTCACTATTATAATTTTTTTTTTATATTTCTTCAAGTTTTATATAAAAAAATGCATGGTATTGTTGTTGTCACTGTAGTACTCGTTTTAAACTTCAATTACACTCTCTTTTCATCTATTATGTTGTTGTTTTTATTTACTTCATTTTAGTTGTTGTTGTTGTTTTTGTTATTATTGTGGTTGTTATTTTGTAAACTCAACACACAGAGACACAAATTCTTTCTTATTATGCCTTATTTAGGTTTTATTTTTCTCTTCTTTTTTCATAAAGCATTTATTTATTTATTTATTTGCCCATAAACTAGACAATTGTAATGAATATCATCTTTTGTATTTTCTTTTATTTCACTATTTTTATTATTATTTTATTTATTCACATTCAATTCATTTATAAAAAAATTCTTTTTATAAGATAAAATATCCAAAACAACAGATACAAAACAAGAAATAAAATCTTGTAAAAATTAAACAATATGCCAAACACAAAGTATAAAATAAATAAATAAAAAAAATGTGTTTGTTTAACACAAAAACCGACCGTATTTAAAAAAAAAAAAACTTTTTTTGTTTGATTTCTTCTTAAAGCGCGTTGCAATTTGCTCGTCGTCGTAAACGTTCAAATAGTAAATTACTTCTGTTTTCTCTTAAGAGTTTTCAATGTTTAGCAAGCTGCCGCTGCTGCTAGTATCGTGTCTGTTAGTTAGTGTGAACAGTTGCATAAAATGGTAGTACACCATCAGAAAATGCCTTTTTCAGAAAAAAAGAGGGTAAAAAATCGTATTTTTTTCTCTACCAAAAGAGAAACAAAAGAGAACAACAACTGAGAGCTGGTGATGTTTGATTATTTGTTTACTACAATAAATTAATTTTTGTGTATATGTGCATATGAAAGAAAAACGTTCGAAACGAGTACGTTAATTTAAAAATACTTAACTAATTTATGTTTTTTTAATTTTCAATAAAATAAATACAATACTCCCCGTTTGCAGTGGCAGTGAGTAAATTTTTTATTGATTGATACTGTTATTAATAAGAAATTATTCGATTTTGCATTGGCAATTGCAATTAGACGCGATTTGTTGTTGCTTTATTAGTTTGGGGCGCAATTCATTCATTCATTCAAATTGGAATGTTAATAAATACAACCTTGTATAGTGGAGGCAAGTCTTAATTTTATTATTAACAAAATGTTAGTTCTTGGAAAAAAGATCGTTGGATAATAACCCTAAAATTCCCAAAAGAAAAACAGATTTAAATTATACACAAGCCTTATCTTTCCACAAATATAAAGATACTTCAATTATATTCATATAATAATATAAAAAAAAAAACATGTTATCACAGCTTGCAGGTGACCACTACAGGTGGTATTAATAAGGCTATCAGCCAGTTGTGTTGTTTTTGTACATTTTCCAGGCATTAAATATTTCTAACCTCCAATGCGTTTTATAGTTAATTGACTGAACTCTCCCAAGAATATCATGTAATCATAACTTTTCGTAGTTCCTTGAGTAGAACTACATTAGTTATTATTTTAGTCCTTTAAAGAGTCATACATTAGCATTAATCGTAAGTCTATAAATAGCCCAACATTAGCTTTAATATGTAATCCCTTATTGGCTTTTAAATCCAACTTGATTAAATCGTTCATTTGGAAACTTCAATTCTAGGCCCACATTAACTTAAATAGAAAGGGTAGGGGTTTCAAACATAGGTTATTATTAACTTCAAACGAGTGTTAATTTATAGGTCTTTTTATAGTCTAATATATAATAGTCATATATAGTCCCGCAATAGCTGCAGGCATGGATCATGTTTATTATTTGAAAACAACATACATAGCCAGCATTTCATAGGACCATGTTGCGGATCATGTACTCTCATAATTTTTACGTGGTCCTCACCTAGGATATCACAATGTGAAATGGAGTATGCTTTTTCATATATTTGGATTAGTTTTTGACCAGTCCTAGTCCTTTAGGGTGTACACTTTACACGAGTGTGCGGAAAAGTCTAAATATTTGCAGGGTACCTTCAATTGTGTGCTTTAATATACTGCCACATAGATCTTTAAATTAAAAATTGGTCCTACACCCAACTTAAAGTATACCAATCGGAATCATTTTCTGAGTCGATTTAGCTCTGTCTGTCCGTCAGTCTATCCGTCCGTCTGTGTGTCCAATTTTCAAGATAATTAGATGACCCAAGGACGAAGCCTTCTTATAGCCTTTCTTATAGCCCCCCCATACAACCGTACCCCCCGAATAGTGCTTTGAGGTCATAAATATGTTAAATGTTCTTGTATCACTCCAAAAATCGACAAAACTTAGTTTTATATAAGTCTTAATGATACTGCTAATTTACGTAATGATCGGGCCTCATTTGACCCTATCCCCCATACTAAGTCCGCTTCAGAAAATGACTTGATGGTCAAAATTCACTTATAAACACTAATATCACGATGATATTCTGCATATGTAGGCGTAAATCCCTCTACCAAAATTTATAAGGATAGGGCAATATTAACCCCCTGACCCCATATAACCCTTATTTTAGAAAATCCATTTTTGTCAACAAATTGTTAAAATATTTCTGAATTAAGGTAAAAATGAAATTAAATACTTATTATTGAAGAAATAATCAAAATTTGTAACATAATCACTGGCGTAGGGTATCATATGGTCGGTCGTGTCCGACTATAAATTTTTATTTGTTTTTATATTGAGTTCCATCTTTTATATTGAGTTCCATCTTATCTTAAATTTATCTTCAGTTGGAGATTAGATTTATTTGTAAGTCTTGAATCTATCATTAGCTTATAAGGTTAACTTGATCCATAGGCCCTCATTCATAGTACCACATTAACTACAATCGCACAACTTTAAATAGTGGTTTATCAGCTTCATTGGAAGATATTTATAAAGTTTTGTCTCTTATCGACGGTTTATATTGCCCTACACTAGCTTCATCCGCAGATCTCTTCAGACGCAGATAAAGTCCAATATTGGTTTCAAACATATATCTTTGACGAGTCTGATATCGGAGCTTTATAGTTCCACATAATTATGTTTTTGTATAGCCCATTCTACGATACTAATACTATCGGCAACGCATCTCGCTTGATCTAAAACATGTTAGATGTATTAGGAAAATGTTAAAATGAGTACTAAAAGTTACACTGATCATAAGATCGGTGTCGTAACCTATAATACCTGT